GCCTGAACTCTGGGCCTGGGCGCTGTCCCTCAGCTCTTCAGTTCAAGGCTAGCACTCTACCACTTGAGCCACAGCGCCACTTCCGGCTTTTTTCTATTTGCTTATGTGGTGCTGAGGAATCAAACCCAGGGCCTCAAGCATGCAAGGCAAATGTTCTACCACTGAGCCACCTTCCCAGCCCCCCTTTATCATCCTTATTAGCTCAACCTTCTTCCTCTAGCCCCTTTCCCCCACCAAATCATTTTCTCTTTTTCCTCCTCCTCAATCCTCTACTGATAACAGGTTCCATTGAGTCTTTTCATGTTTTCACTTATAGTTGCAATGTATTTCAAAATTATTCATTCTTCCTTTTCCCTTCTTCCAGTAGTTATATTTGAAAGTTCCTTCCCCCCCCCCCCTCCAGTCCTGGGGCTTGAATACAGGGCCTGGGCACTGTCTCTGGGCTTCTTTTGCTCAAGGCTAGCACTCTACCACTTGAGCCACAGCACCACTTCTGGCCTTTTCTGTTTATGTACTACTGAGGAATTGAACCCAGGGCTTCATGCATGTTAGGCAAGCACTCTACCACTAAGCCACATTCCCAGCCCTGGTGATAATGATGATTACACCTTTTCCCTAAATCAGAAGCTCTTCTAATCAAGGACCAAAATCCACCCTCCAGAAACTGACAATTACTTCTGAAGACTCAAATCAGACTCAAAACAGGTACTATCAGTCCACTTCTCTACAGTGACCTGGATAAGATTTAGAAAATGGGGACATCTGAGAGTTTTCCATCTCTCTTTCGAAAATAGCAGAAGTCAGGAGCCAGTGGTTCACTTGTAATTCTAGCTACTCCGGAGGCTGAGATCTTAGAAGTCAGCTGGGCAAACCTTCATGAATCACTTATCTCCAATTAATCACCAAAAAGCTGGAGGTGGAGCTGTGGTACAATTGGGAGGGTGCTAGCTTTGAGAAAAAATGTTCAGAGACAGAGTCCAGGCCTGGCTGGCACACACACACACAAACAAACACACACACGCACACACTCTCCCCTACCCACCCACCAAAACTGCCTGTCATTACTGGAGAAACGAGCCTGATGTGTGACACCATTTTTCGACAATGACATTCCCCCCCCTAAAGAATGTGGTAGTGTAACAATGTGAAGATAAAGACATTCACTTCTACTTCAAGTAACTATTACGAGGCTTAAATGTGATAGATCTGTGTGAAGTGTTTAATTCCCATCGTTTTCCATATGTTAAACATTTGACTACTATCCTATGCAATATAAATCCAAGACACAATAACAATGTGAGGAAAACCAAAGTAACAAGAACTTTTACTACTTATCCCCTCGTGATTCCTGAATTTCTGGGTATTCTGAGAACCTAGTTGGTTCCGGACACTCACAGTCTCTCATCCCTCAGACTAAGCATTCTTTTCATGGCCGCATACTTCCTCGTTTTCTTTTGCTTTCCCTTGAAACAGAAATTTTAGAATTAAATGAGTTGGAAATCTCTTAAAAGTCCCTTTTTCCCCCTCTCGTACATTCCCTTTCCTTTCAAGCGCTTCTCCTTAGTCCCCCAAACACAGGCTCCGTTAGAAGTTTAAGACCTGAGCTCAGAATGAAAATAAACACAGGAATTTCGTTGTAGCGTTGAACCCCCACCAACCCGTCGCCGAAATGAGTCCAGACTATTCTCACCATGTTCTCGCCGCACTCTCGCCTCTTCCGGAATCACCGTCCGCGCGACACTTTTACGTCACCCCCACGTTATTTCCGGCAAAGGACAACCCGGAAGCGGAAGTCATCTTGGAGAACGGAAACGCCCCAAGCCGGCTCTCCACCCGGGCGGAGACACATCGCTGGGTGTTTCGTGGGGAAGGTTGAAGGCAGGTTTTCCGCTCGGTGCTGCCCCTGTCTCCGGCGACCCCAGAGCCGGGACGCCGCCGCCGCCGCCGCGCGGTCCCACCTAGCTTGGGTAACGTTTCTCTTCCTCCTTCCAGCCCCACGCGGAGCCCAGCGGAGCCGCCGGCGCCGCAGAGCTCCAGGGAGGACCGGGGTGGGAGTGTGGGAATCCCGGGCTGCCTTAATCTTCCAGCGCGGGGGCATCAGGTCTCTTGTCATCCCGCCTTGAGGCTTTGGTCCCTTCTTGGTTTTTCTCGCGAGCATATTTGCATCATGCAGAGAGGCGGAGGATGCTTAGCAAACCGCGTATTCCTCTCATTGACAAGAGGAATGAAGCAGCGCTCGAGGGCCTCTGGAGTCTCTGGTTAGAACATTGAGGCTCGGGCTTGCATATGTCACTGCTTACCAAGCCTGGAAAAGGTGGGCAACCACTGACATGGACTGTGAAGACGTGTTATGTCATTCTTAAGGGAAAAAGGAGGCTTGGGGAAAACAAGAGTTTCAGTTGTTCCCCCCCCCCCCATCCCCAGTACGTGCTGTGGACTCTTCGTGGTTCTTAACCTTTTGGAGAGGAGATCACCTTGAGGCTTTGTGGAAAGTTAGAGATATGTATATATGCACACACAAAACTTGTCATTCAATGTAGAAGACTATTGGACTATGAAAGCCCATTAGTAGACCTCCCGGTGTCTGTAAACTTTACATTTTCCTGCCTTGTATACTGCACTTAGCACTTCGTGTTACTTCGTTGAGGGGTCTAGTTGATTCCAAAGACTGTAGCTTGTTGTTGTTGTTCTGTGCTAGGATCCTAATGTATGAAAGTAAAATAAGTTATCAGGTTAAAAAAAGAAAAAGTGATCATTGCCTGACCTCTCATAAGAATATGCATTGGTTAATTAATTTTGGGGTTTGACTGAAGTTAAAAATCTTAACTCTGTGTCTTAATTATTAGATGAGTTCTTTGTCCTTCTGTGCCCTAGTCTTGCAGGGTTGTTTCCCCACTCAGGCTTTTTTTGGGAGACGGGGGAAGGGAGACGGGTGCTAGTACTGGTGCTTGAATCCAGGGTGGTACACTGTCCCTTGACTTTTTCAAACAAGGATAGAGCTCTACCACTTGAGCCACAGCTCCACCTCCAAGAGATAAGAGTCTTGGGGGCTGGAAAGGTGGCTCAGTGGTAGAGTGCTTGCCTTGGATGCATGAGGCCCTGGGTTTGATTCCTCAGCATCAAATAAGCAGAAAAAGCCGGAAGTGGTGCTGTGGTTCAAGTGGTAGAGCGCTAGCCTTGAGCTGAAGAGCTGAGGGACAGGGCCCAGGTCCAGAGTTCAGGCCCACGACCGACAAAAAAAAAAAAAAAGTCTTGAATTTGTCTGCTTAGTCTGCCTTTGAACCTAGTATCTTCAGATCTCAGCCTCCTGAGTAGCTAGGATTACCCGTGTAAGCCACCAGAACTAGGGTAGGTTATGGTAATAATAGTTAAAAATATGTAAGCCCCTAAAACAGAACATACCAAAAATTCAGCTCTTGTAAGTGTTCTCTCTCTTTTATGGTGGAGTTGAATTTTTTTTTCTTTTTTTGGGTCCAGTTGTGGGGCCTGAACTCTGGGCCTGGGGGCTGTCCCTCAGCTCTTCAGCTCAGGCTAGTGCTCTACCACTTGAGCCACAGCGCCACTTCCGGCTTTTTTCTTTTTGTTTATGTGGTGCTGAGGAATCGAACCCAGGGCCTCATGCATGCAAGGCAAGCGCTCTACCACTGAGCCACCTTCCCAGCCTGGGGTTGAAATTTTATGCCAATAATTGGGCTATTATGAAACTTGAATGTTTTTCTAAACCCTCAAAGCTTTATAATTTTTTAGATTTTGAAAAGCTCAATAGGGCAATTTCTTGTGTTGTTTTGAATGCAAACCTAGTGTTCTTTCTGCTTTCTTTCCCTTTCTTATTTAAGCATGAGTGCATTTAGATAGCTTACATATCTTTAGACTCTGGAATTTTGACATTGTAATAATTTTATTATTGAAGTATCTACAAATTCTGTGTGCTCCTACTTTTCTCCATTTGAGATCACTAGAAGTTCCTAATCTTTTCAGAACAGCTTGTCTCTTGTCTTTGCTAAGCTGTCATTCATGGATAAAGCTAACAGCAATCACTTAAAAAAAAAAGTATCACCTCTTGGTGGTTAGGCAATATTTTTAAATAAACATGACCAGATATTAATTTTTAAGCAAAGACTAATTAATACATACCTAAATTTCCACCTCCCCCTTCCCTCCTCGCAAGAAAATTACAAAGGATTAATTGTAAAATTGTAATTTACATTTAAATTCAGGCACTGCTGGAAAACCACTTTGTGGTTAGATGTTCCCTGAATTTTGGAATCCATGAATAAAACATTGGTTTTCAAAAGCAGTTTGAAGTTTCTATTTTGAGAATGTTCTGATTTCCTTGATTATTAATAATTGCTGGGAGCTAAGGTAGTGTAGGAACACTGTAGGAGATGAGAACATAACTTAGAAAAATGTTTTTGCTGCATTGTAACTTTATCATAATGAGATAATTTTTTTTGGGGGGGGGAGGGTTGGTCCTGGAGCTTGAACTCAGAGCCTGGGCATTGTCCCTGAACTTCGTTTTGCTCAAGACTAGCACTCTACCACTTTGAGCCACACTGCCACTCCTGGCTTTTTCTGTTTATGTGGTAGTGAGGACTCAAACCCAGGGCTTTAATGCATGCTAGGTAAACACTCTACCACATTCCCTCCCTCCTCCCCTTCTTCCCCTCCCTTCTTCCCCCTTTCTCTCTCAGTCTCTCACTTTCCCTTTCTTTCCCTCTCCCTTCCTCTCTCTCTCTCCTTTTCCTCTCTCCCAGTTCTAGAGCTTGAACTCAGGGCCTGGTTGCTGTCCCTTTGCTATTTAAGTTAAGGCTGGTACTTTACTGTTTGAGCCATACCTCTGCTTTCTCCTTTTTGATGACTGATTGGAGATAAGAGTCTCATTGACTTTACCGCCTGGTCTGGCTTTGAACCATTTTTGTCAGATCCCAGCCTCCAGAGTAAGTAGGATTACAGGTATGAGCTACCAGTGCCTGGCCAATCTGAGAGTGTACTTTGAAAGTACTCAGGTGTAGACTATCATTCTTTGATGAGTTTTTTTTTTTTTTTTGGGTCTGGTCATGGGGCCTGAACTCTGGGCCTGGGCGCTGTCCCTCAACTCTAGGCTAGTGCTCTACCACTTGAGCCACAACACCACTTCCGGCTTTTTTTTTGCTTATGTGGTGCTGAGGAATCAAACTCAGGGCCTCAGGCATGCAAGGCAAGCGCTCTACCACTGAGCCACCTTCCCAGCCCCTCTTTGATGAGTTTTGATTGAGTTGAATGAGAGCAAAAATAATTGCCTTCAGGTATGTTGTTATGTGAAAAAGAAAGGATTTTAGTTCTCAGCAGTGAAGAGAGTTGTTGCTGCAGGCCTGAAGAAGAATCTCAAGACATTGGACCTACAGTTTAAAAGAATAATCAGGCTTAGACTTTACTCTGTTAAACAATTGGTGTAACTTAGTAATTTAAGTTGTTAAATGAATATAGATGATGAAAATATTCCTTAAAGAGCATCTTGTGGTTTAATGTATTTACAATCAAGCATTGTGGCTCATACCTGTAATCCTAGTTACTCAAGAGATTGAAAGGATTTCAGTTTGAGGCCAGCCAGGTGATGATGATGATGATGATGATGGTGGTGATGGTGGTGGCGGTGGTGGTGGTGGTGTGTGAGTGTGTAATGCAATAGAAAATGGTAGTGCCGGGGCTGGGAAGGTGGCTCAGTGGTAGAGTGCTTGCCTTGCATGCATGAGGCCCTCGGTTCGATTCCTCAGCACCGCATAAGCAGAAAAAGCCAGAAGTGGGGGCTGAAGCTCAAGACATAGAACGCTAGTCTACAGCTGAAGTGCTGAGGGACAGCGCCCAGGCCCAGAGTTCAGGCGCCATGACTGACAAAAAAAGAAAAAAGAAAATGGTGGTGCCTGCCTGTCCAGTTATTGTGAGAAGAATAGGAGGATTGAATTTCAGGCTGGCCCCAGGTAAAATGTCAGACTAGCTTAAAAATAACCAAATCAAGAAAGGCAGGAGGCATGACCGAACTGGTGGCACTTGTCTAGTAAGTATGAGGCCCCAAGTTCAAACCCCAGTACCTGTAAAAAAGTGTTGTGGGTAAATTCACTTTTGTTTTCATAAAAGGAAACAAAATTAGAGGTATTTTATCCACTTTCAAGTTACATTTTTACATTTATCTTTATAACTCATGATAGGACTTTTCCTCCAACTAATATTTATTGCTATGGTTTTTCAATTAACTTAGCTGCCTTCTGAATGTGGTAGCATGGTTGACAGCATGGTCTCCTAAATATTGACATTAAATAATTTTATAAGGACAACTCATTTATTGAGGGCTCATTTTGTCCTAGGAAATGTGTTATAATTGCTTTTCTAGAACTCAGTTCATATTAAAAAGATTTGCAGCTGGGCGCTGGTGGCTCACACCTGTAATCCTAGCTACTCAGGAGGCTGAGATCTGAGGATCGCGGTTCAAAGCCAGCCCGGGCAGGAGAGACCGTGAGACTCCTATCTCCAATAAACCACCAGAAAACCGGAAGTGGCGCTGTAGCTCAAGTGGTAGAGCGCTCGCCTTGAGCTGAAGAGCTGAAGGACAGTGCCCAGGCCCAGAGTTCAAGCCCCACGACCGACAAAAAAAAAAAAAAGACAGTTCCTAGGGCACCCACACATACTAAAAGGGGGGTTATTTTATGTCTAAAATCATTATTCCTTTAAAATTACAAATTATTTCTAACCTCATTCTTCCT